GTTCGGTTGCTAGGTCTCCCCCCTCTCTCCCTCTCTTCCCCAGCCGCTCGGTTGCTAGCGCTCTCTCTCTCTGTGAGGAACCAAAGGCCGATAGAACCAGGTCTCTAGCTTTCCCTATTCCACTCGTTTTGACAACCCCACATTTATCTTTGCACAAATATTATTTAGGAATTTTCACCGAGAAATGCTTAAAGTTGGCGAACTGTATACAAAGCTTTTGATCACTTCCATCATCCACATCATCACTTGTTGCATTGGAATTTGGAATTTATACATGTTATAGATACATGATTGAACTTATTCTTGTCATGTGATTTTCTATATGGCTTCCTACTCTAAACCAATGTGTAATTGTTTGATGGTGTTTCTTTAAACTGAAATGATCTATTATGTAACCAACATGAATAATTGCTTCTAAACTTTTGGTCAACAAATATCTGTAGTTCACTGATATGGTCTTATTTGATAGTTTATGTTATTTTCTTTGCAGGTATATATTTGTCCCTAATTGTCAAGTAATGTTATTTGATTTATTTTACCTTCACATTAGCATGTATATGACCTTTTAGCTATTGAAAAAGATAGTGCATCTTGATATTTCAAGGGGCACAATCGGAATTTTGTGGATATCCTATGTTACCACAAAACCATATATTTCCATGCCGATCTTGATAGTTCTAGTCTTGACCAGTCTCTATTTTCTACCCAAGACAAAATATTTCCAGCTGCGCACATCACCATTACTATTTTGTTTGAAAGTTAAAATACACTGCAGTGAAACATGTGCCCTGAGGATTACATGATCAAACTATATAAAAAACGATTTGAAATGTCTCATTATTGTAGGAGACATAAGAATGTGAATAACATGCGAGTATTGGACACTGTTGAGTCTAGCATCTTACTATGGAAAACCATATAGTTTCCAACTACTATCCTAAATTTACTATTTTAGTACTCTTCATCCATCGTTCTTTGTGTTCCCACTCATAAGGTGTTGAGTAAGTTTTCACCAAGGATTAAATCTGAGCATTAATAGTATGGTACCTAAACTTTATTGTTCTCTCTTGTGGGAACAATTTTTTGGGATTGATTAGATGGCACCCTCCAAACAATAATAATTTTTTGGGAGCCGGTTTTGGCAACTAACTCTTCGGGGTGGATTTTTTGGGAGCAGGTTTTGGCAACTAACTCTTTGGCAACTAGAAACAACACTTGAAAAACAGTCCAACATGCCCATAGTATTCCTAACATGCACGTGTCACAAGATTAGTGCTGCAGCCTTGATTAATACTCCATAACATAAGCACCCTTGATTGCATATATTTAATGTAGTATCCTTTTCTCGTTATTACAGCATGGACCCAACAGCACCAGCGTTTAATCGGGTTGCTGCTCCAACAGTTGAGCATCTCGACCAGCGCGCACTACTAATAAGGGATAAATTCAGTGCTGATGGTTGGCTTTGTCCGCGTTGTTATCAAGTAAACAACCCCATAGACAATCTACTCTATAGGGTTCCAGCTTTCGAGTGTACTAATCCCGAGAAGTGCAATGCTAAGGTCCTACTATTTCTTCCCTTAACCTTTTACATCTAATTTAATGGGAATTGCTTTTTTGCTGGTATTTATTTTTGTTTGACTGAACATCTAAATTTATTTTTTGCAGTGCCCTGGGACAGTTGAATTGAGCATTACTGACTGCATAATGAATACCGTCAGGACCAATTTTCTGATTAGAAGTCAAGGCGATAACCGTAAGTCTAAACTCTTGACACCTCTACTATATACTCTTTTGTACTCCTAGCGGCCTAGCAGTATGTACTTCCACGCCCTTCTCAGTCGGTTGCTGTTTAAAGGGTTTCCATGTTAATTAATTCCACAAGGCTAAATCAATATTTGTGCATTTTTTTTCTACTCCGTATAATGCATGCACGCAAGACGCAACAATCTCCCATATTTTAGGGGAGCAGTGGTGCATAGATAATACTGAGTGGTGTATAGCGGTGGTGCTTTGTTTTCAAATGAGTATGTACTGTTTCTTTTGGCACAAGCAGCTACTTTTTTAGATAATATACCACTTTTTTTCGTGAGGGAATGTACTCTTTTGTGGAGTATATATTACGTTTTAGAGAGAGAGAGAGAGAGAGAGAGAGAGAGAGAGAGAGAGAGAGAGAGAGAGAGGTCCTTTTTAGGGGCATGAAATAAAGAAAAATACTTATATCCTCAAACAGAATTGTATACGTCATATAGAAAATTTGTGTTCGTCCTTGGGAACACACATGATATATACGTTATTGTGGAGTATATATGAACCATGTAATAAATCAATCTAAGAAGTAATCGAGCAATCAATTTTTTGTTAAGTACTATCACAAAGTTGAGCACATGTACACTTGCACTGTTAGGAGTGCTAGGGGCATATGGACAACACAACTATTCAAACAAACGAATCAAGTAAAATTAATATATTTGTTATACTTAGGAGGAGGGTTCGTGCATACAGTACTAATAACACACCTATTTATACTGCATGTAATGTGTATGGTTCCTCGTACTTTGTTGTTAATGTTTTCGCTTTTTGCAGGGAACTGCACAGCACATGCAGTCTTGGCCGGCATGGATGCTGCACTTAAAATCGAAGGGGCCCTCCGCGGCGTGCCTGTGTTACAGGCACTCAATGGTACAAGCCTATTAAGAGACTACCACCGCTTCTATCCGGATGGTGTTGGGCATGAACTACAGCGGGAATGGAGAGGATATCACAGATATGAACAGCTGCTGAGGGTTGCCCAGGCGTTCGGAGTTGAGTATGTGTCTCCTATGAGAACAATCACAAGGGCGCTGAGACTGCAATCCTGGTTTCGACTGATAACTAGGCAGACTAGTCTGGACTATCTAGTGCGCCTGATCGCTAATGGCTATCCGTTATTAGCCACCATGGAGATTGGTCGCTGGTTCAGGCTGGCAGAGGATGGACAGTTGTACATGGGGCCTCCTGCTGAATTTCCAGGTAATCATGCTGTGTTGCTGATTGGAAGCGTAGCAAAACAATTGGCGCTCCCAAATAACATAACCGGGCAGAGTGAGGTGGTTCCCAGCCTTCTTTTTAAGGCAAGGAACTCACATGGGTCTACAGCTCACAGGTCTGCTGCACAAGGAGGTTATGGTGGGGATGTGTACCTATTGGCGCAGGATTTAGGTCCATACTTGTATGGATTTCGTATTGAGACCCCAACCTGGATGCTTCCTAATGCTGCCTGAGTCGCACGGAACAACACGTCTGCTTGGTGGAAAATGTTTCAGTTTGTGTTTGGTTGCTGAGATGGTGGTCAACTGGTCATGGTATCTTCTATCCGTAGCTTATCTTATCCGTATGGTGATCATGGTATCTTCTAGCCGTACTTTTATCTTACCTGCGCTGTGTCGCAGTTCGGTCACTAGTTGACCCTTGTATCGAACTCATTTTACCGTTCCTAGAACTTGTAAGGCCTCAGTTTAACCCGGGGTGTCAGTCCCGTTTCTAGAAAAAAAAACGTTGTATGGTGATGCTGGCTGGCATTGTAATATTGACAATTGATCTCTGCCTAGTTACTATGTGATTGTAGCCTTTGTCGACAATATTTGCAAGCAACCTGAGTAGTCTTGTTTTGTTTTGTTTTGTTTTCTTCTGTCATATATTTGCGCTTTTATCCATTTTCTACTACGAATTCATGTATATAACTTCTCCTTTCTTATATTCGTTTTTAACACTTCCAAATTTGATTCTTGTTCTGCTAAACAACTTGAACTTGCCGCAAAATAATACAGAAACCGGAACATCAATACTCATTTCTGTCCCAAATCCTTTTTGTGAATACGCAAAGCTTGCTTATCTTTTCATTGATAGACGAAGAAAGAGTGACTATAAGGGATGGTACAACACATGGCACGGCCTAAACGGAGGAAACGACACGGCAAAACTCGTCTAGCCCTGAGAAGCAGCACAGACCAAACTAAGATGATCAACATCTCCAACTCCACAACCAGGGTCTCCGCGAGCGAACATGACAACACCTTCGCAAAGGGGAACGACATCGAGATGCTAGGGTTCCCCTGATTCTCGAAGAGGGGCACATATTTTAGAAAAGGGGCACATATGAAGGCCATGACAGAACCTCCAACAAGGGGAGGGCATCCACGGGTGTCGCCGCTGCCTTCATCGGCAAGTTGAGCAATGATTTCTTTCTGGCCTTAGTCTGAGAAAGTACAAGCCACCCGGGTAGACTTCAGAGAAGAGGAAGTCGAGTCGCAGGCTGGAACCGCCATCACAGGAAGGAGAGCAACACCACCGCTGGAGGAGGCATCCAACGCTATTTTATCTTCAGGAGAGATTTTTATAGTAATTCAAGATATATTTTGTTTTCTGATAGATATTTGATATTTTATCCGTGTCTACTATTTTGTATTTATATCATACCAGTTTCCTTTCTCATAATCATTTTTAACATTTTAAATTCGAAGCATGTTATTAAGAAGTAACCGTGGACACCGACCTGGGATCAGGCCCACCTCTCTTCTAAGTGGTCTCAACCTGCCTTGTCGCTCTACCATAAAGAATCACTCAGGGGGGCGTCGTGACAATGTCCTTTCAGCCCCCAGTCCGTGAATCACTCGCGGGTACTCTACAAGCCGCCCCGACTTTAATCATTTCATGTGTCATGTATAATGTAATATAGTATATCCGTGATCACCGCCCGACATATCATGACCCGATAGTATAGCCTGGCATACAGACAAGAATGTAGGGCCACTGGTGGACTACTAGCATACCTATACTAAGAGCATCTCTAACCGCGCCCCCAATAGGCCCCCAGGACATTTTTTAGCGCCGACACTGAAAAACGGCCCGGTCGTGCCCCCAGGAGCCCAATTTTCGCCGGTTAGGGCTGAAACCGGCGCCGGCGGACCCAGCAAAACCCGACGTGCTGGGGGGCGCCCGGGGGCGCCGAGGCAACCGTTTTTGGTGCGAAAGAATGGTGGGCCCGCCGAGTCAGCGACCCCCGCGCCTCGTCATCCTCATCGCCTCGGTTTCCCGCGGGGAATCAATGCCAATGTTGTCGCCGGTCAGCCTTCCACTGATTCCTCATGGGCGGTGCGGTGAGGCGACGCGCCCCATCCTGCCACGCGTACGCACGACGCCCCTTCCCCCCGGCCTCTATATAAGCCGCCCATGCCTTGTCGGTGGACGCACCCCGCCCGCAGCCCCCCTCTCCCCGTGCATGCACAACCGCCACTGCCGAACTCTCTTTCCCTCTCTCCCCGTGCACGCACAGACTATGGGCAAAAGGTTCCCCGGCGATGGGGCGGCAGCCAATGGCATCGGCGTCTGCTCTCTGCACGAGTGGGAAGCCCATCTCCTCCATGAAGCAAACTACCCGGTGCCTCCCGACATGTGCGCGCCATGGCGGTGGAGGCTTAGTGCCGGGGGTGTCCCCGTCCCCCCGCTGCCCAACATCGAGCACCCCCACTACATCTAGGCTGAGATCTACCGTGTGTGGGCGTCTCTGTCCGACGAGGAGCGTGCCCTCCCGGAGTACGACCCCGACAACCACGAGGCGCGGGCGGCGTACTTCAAACGCCGGCAGGCGGAGCGGCTGGCCTCCATCAACAACGCGCCACTTGTGAGGGGGCGCAACAACAGCGATGGCCGCCGCCTGTGGTATGGCGCCCCCGGCCACACACTGCACGCCGACCTCGAGTACCTCGAGGGCGGCAACGATCCACCGCTGACGTACCCGGCCGCCCCGGTCCCCCGTCGGAGCCGGTCCATGGCTGCCGAGGAGGATGCTGGGCGGGTCCTCATCCTCCTCGCGCTCCTCCTCCCACTCCTCTGGTTGGCCGGCACTCTTCAGCGTCAAGGCTGAGCCCGTGGAAACGCCAGCGCCGCGCCCTGGATGAGATCGCCGCTCGGTGTTGTGGCCGCGACGAGGGAGGCGTCGCCGTTCTCGACGACAGCGACGACGAGGTGCCGCTGCTGGCCAAATCAGTCCGACAGGGGGACCCCTGGCAGGGGTCCACCAGGGACGGCCGGGTGAAGGAGGAGAAGGAGGACGACAACGGCGGTGACTTCGACGTGTTCAGCGTGTTCTTCGGTCTGTAGGCGCGGACATTTTTTCTTCTTCTTTTTATTATTATGTTTCTATATGTAAAAAAAAACTGTGAACCGCCTAACTATCGCTGCACGTATGCCGTGTTTGCCGAAATTTGCCCATTTATGTTTAGAAAAAATTAAAAAAAATCATCTGGGGCCGACCTGGGGGCGGCGGCTGGGAAGCCGATCGCCCCCACGCCGAAAATATTGCCGGTTCGCCCCCAAGCGGCACTTTTTTCTAGCCCCTGGGAGGGGGGGGGGGGCGAACGAGTGGAGATGCTCTAATCATATAGGATAACAGGTAAAAGTATCGACAGTAGTAACAAGGATAGGCTATGCAACATAATAGGAGCTATCAAAACAATGACAGTAGCAAAACTAATGCGAGAATGCGAGAATAAGAGAAGAAGTGTTGGTGATGACGAAGATCCCCCTCTCCGGAGCCCAAATGAACTCTAGATTTGGCCTCCCGATAAAGAACAGGGACGATGGGGGCTCCGTCTCGTGAAACGCGATAATTCTTTCTCCCTGATTTTTTCTCTGGAAAAACATGATTTTATAGCGTTGTACTACAAAAAAAAGACACATCTGTGACATTTTGGGCCGAACGAAAAAAATTCTGTCATACTTATGACACTTCTATGACGATAATTGTGACAAAACCCGGTATCATCATAGATGTGGTGGGATCCTACTTCTATGACAAAATCATGAAAGAAAAAAAAATGGGCTTTTCATCCTGGGCGGGTCGGAGATGCAGCTACATGACATTCTTTGGGCCGTCCATGACGGAAAAAACCGTGATAGAAGTGAGGATGAGGAAAATATCGGGGAGTTCCCAGTTACGGTGGGTGGTCGGGGCCAAGCTATGCGTGTTTCTCTCATACACGTACGCGCGTGGGTGCGTGGCATTGGGCTCTAACTGAACCTGAGCGAGGCTTCGCCTAACTGAACCCGAGCTATTGCACTACAGGCTACGCGTTACTGAACTCGAGCGATTCCTTCGCTACTACTGCTAACTGAAGCTGATCAATGCTGCCTCTGGATGAACAGTGAGCGTTGCTGGGGGGGGGGTTGGATGAACAGCTCCCGGTGGGGGTTGGATGAACAGGACCCTGTGGTGTTGCTGCTGGATGAACAGGACCCCGATCGATCGAGCCGGTTAAGCGTGGATGAACAAGACCCCGTGGAGGGCTGGATGAACAGGACCCTGTGAAGGGCTGGATGACCAGGACCCCGTGAAGGGCTGGATGAACAGTTGCCGGTGGAGGGCTGGATGAATAGTAGCCCATTGAGGGGTGGTTGAACAGGACCCCATGGAGAGGGCTGGTTGAACAGTAGCCGGTGGAGGAGCGTGGGGTGGAGGCTAGATGAACAGGAGCCCGTGGATGAACAGTCGCAGGTGGAGGCTGGAGGAGATCGACGGTGGATGAACAGTAGCCCCGTGGAGGCTGGAGGAGGTCGACGGTGGAGATGAACAGTATCCCGTGGAGTCCCGTTTTGCAGTACGCCACACCCCTCCCGATGAACAGGACCCCTGTTTCGACCGTAGCACTCCAACACAAGTCTGTTTCCTCCGTTTTGCGGTACGCCACACCCCTCTCAATCAACAGGACCCCATTTCGACCGTAGGAGGTCCAACAAAAGTCCTTTTCCTCCATTTTGCGATACGCCACACCCCTCCTAATGAACAGGATCCCGTTTTGCCCGTGGCCAGTTGAACACAAGGTCGTTTCCTCCGTTCTGCGGTACGCCAGGCCTCGTTTCCATTGGCTATTGCGTCCAAGCCCTCCCGATGAACATGACAACGCATTCCGTTCCAACCCAGCCGGTTGGCTCCCCATGAACACGACGACGACGTTGTTTCTCCATTCCGACCCAGCCATGTACACGAGTCCTGGGCGTACGTATGCGCGAGTAGGCGTTCGAGACCCCGCCCGTATGTATGTACATGGCCATATTTACTTTTTTGCACCCTGGTCGCTGTACATACGTGTACATGATACGTGCGCGCCTCTATTACGAGACATGCACGCCTCTACTATAACTCGTGCGCGCCTCTACATCGATCAATATGTACATACATGTTCGCGACCAGAATGACAACATTACGTACGCTTCGACTAGGTGA